TTTTTTTTTTTTTTTCTCTTCTTTTTACTTCTTTGAATGAATTCCCGTGCTGGTGATTCTATTTGTGAAATTTGTTATTATAATATAAAAAAGAGTATTCTATGCGTGATCATGTGAGTTGTTAAAAATGGTTGTTACCATTAGAGTAATTTTAATGTACCTCTTGCGTTTTTCTTTATAATAAATATTTTTATTTTCCTTGTATTCTGAGTGTTTCAGTTAGAGGGTAGGTATTACATTCAGGAATTAGATTTGGTAAGGGAATTAGAAGAAGGAAACTTGATGTCTATTAATTGGTTGTTGCGAGCTGAGGGTGGGACTTTGATGATAGGAGAGCCGATTGGAGTGTTCGAAAGTGGTTGGAAAAATTCTTCTTTGTAAAGTGATGGTCGTCATAACTCACACCTTAATAAGCAAGCATCCTCCTAATCTTTTCATTTTTGGATAAAAGCATCTGTTCAAAGTCTTTGCTTCTATATTTTTGCTATGTGCATTTTTCAAAGAAAGTTTCTTCTGCAGTATAGTATTCTTCTGTCAAGAATTCCTGTTGTTTGTCATTGTTTAATGGATCCTTCGGAGCATTCTATCACATGCGAGGGAGATAGGTGTGGGGGAATGAACCAATGGTAGAAAAATGTCAATGATGTGGAAACAACCATTGACTTTCCCTGCAGTAGCAAGAAAGCGATATTTACCATTTATGTGAACAAGTTTATGATTAGTTTATCAATATAATATTTCTCACTGTAACTTCTTTTGTAATAGATTATATGGTGATTACGAAAGTGAAACTGATGTGGACAGTCAATTCCATTGTTATTTGCTTAGGGAATAGCTTGTGAGCATGGGTCTACTGACTGTAAATATTTATTTAGGCCTGTATAATTTTTTCTTGGTGTTGCATGCAGATCTCTAAAGAAATTTGGTAGGGAACTTTTTATCTGTAAGTTAATCAGATACTGTGTTACATCCTCATGTAACTATGCTGCCATGGAAACATCACAGCTTACTTGCATATCAAATTAAAAGGCGGTTGCATTTCAATCTGAAATTAAAGTGCAGCAATTTTGAAAATCAAAAGTGAAGAAGAAGCCTACTGTTAATCGAAAAGTACTAAATTGAGTCTTTTTCTTTTCGGAAGCAAGTTTTTTTCTCATAACAAAACACACAGCATGAAATGTACACCTAATGTTTAAGTTGGTTTTGCCATTCATCTTAAAAGGGACCAATCATGTTCTTTTAAAACGATTTTTTAACAATTCTAACAGACCAAATGACATGCCTATATGGTTAAGGGCTCGCTGTGCAACTGGGCCACCTCCTTAGCACCTTAATGTGCTTCACCTATTAAAGTGTCTTTTATCAAAGAGATTCATCGATGATCATTACGAGACATTATGGCTTCCCTTACTTTCTTTTATTTCTTCAGCTGAATGTCGACTTTTGCCCGAGCTATGGGTGTGACATGATAGATGATAGGTCTCATAGCTGGTTTCTCATGCTTAAACAATCAAATAGAAGCTACCCAACTTAGTTTCTTGCTAATGTTGCTTCTATCTTTTTGTGACAAACTTAAGTTCAAATATTTCTTATGCACATAATATATGCAGGTATGACTATTCGGGCTATGGGCAATCAACCGGAAAGGTATAATCTACTAATATATATCGTTTTCTCTCATTACGCACTAGTACCTACCCCGTGCGATGCACATGACAGAGATATTAAATGAGTTATTTTCATAGATTGTCCTTTTAAATCTAAAAGGCAATAGGGTTATCATTTATTTTTCACCTCTTTTAATCAGTGTTAGAGTCTAAAAAAAAATAGAATTATAATTTATATTTTACATCTTTTAATCAATTTTGTTTTTAGCCAGAACATTAAATATGAGCATGTTAGAGCTAACTTGTAAAATAATTAATAATTTATCTCACCAACACATTTGTACTAATATAAATTTGAATATTAATGTATGTATATCTATATATATATTTATTCATTGATATAAGAAAAATAACAGTTTTACTTATTCTTATTCACCATATGATACTTAATTATTACTTTTTATAAACTTTGTTGTCATATAGTGTCATTATTATTTGTAAAAGTTATAGAAGTTGTACGTCTTGCTTTTATTTTTATATTTTGTAATGAAAAATATTTAATGCTCATTAGTATTATTTATTTATGTAATTAATTTAAAATACGTAAATAAATTTAAAATTAAATAGTATATAAATATTTTACAAAATATACACACTTGTTTTTTTAGAATTTAATTTTGCATACTAATTAAACAACTTTGATTTAGCAAATGCCAAAAACTTAATTCCTTCTATAATCAAAAAGTTTTCTAATTTGCATTATAAAGATTTATAGTTTACTTAGCATACTCTGCAATGAAAATATATCTTACAAGAATTTTATTATAGAAAGAAATCAAAATAAAATAAAAATAATCATGGTTGCCAATAATATACAAATAAATTTTAAAGAACAGTTAATATATTTCAAAATATTATCAAATGAAACACGGAAAATCAATCTTGTAATTTATTATAATGGATATCAATGAAACTAATGAAGATATTAATAAAATTATTTAAGAAAACAACATTTTTTTATCATATCAGATTTGATCTTTTTGAAAATGTGTACAAGAAAGCAATTAATGCATATATTTAAAAAGTTTACAAAAATGTATGCATTATATTCTCCTAAATTTTTTTACAACTATTTTTAGTAAATTGTTATTCTTATTATATATATAGATTAGTCATGGATGATTGCTATAAATTTCGTACTTTTTTCTTATTGCAGCCGAGCGAACATAACACTTATGCAGATATTGAAGCAGCATATAAGTGTCTGGAAGAGAACTATGGGGCTAAGCAAGAAGACATCATACTATATGGTCAATCTGTGGGTAGTGGACCTACTGTAGACCTTGCAGCTCGTTTGCCTCATCTGAGAGCTGTTGTTTTGCATAGTCCTATTTTGTCGGGCCTAAGAGTTATGTACCCTGTGAAGCGCTCATATTGGTTTGACATCTATAAGGTAAATTGCTTGGTGACAATTATAAGTGATCACAATTGGTCCTTAGTATATCATGCACTCTGAACATGGCTTATGTGTTGATATCTGCAGAACATTGACAAAATCCCCTTGGTCAAATGCCCTGTCCTTGTTATTCATGTGAGTAAACATTTTATCCTGTAAATTTCACCTTCTAGTTTCATAATGCAACTGCCTATATGATGCATAATGTTTTGTTTTTGGATTAGGACATGCGGTTTAACTCATTAATTTGAAATTTGTGTTTGATCATATCAAAGATTATACTGAACTTGGTCCCAAGGGGAAAGAAAGTTGGTATAACTGGATTTTTTCTGTTAAAAAGAAGAAAAATAAATAAAGACTAGGTAAATTTCCAGTTGTAGTGGAAATGAATACAAGATTCTGTAATGTGTAGGGCACTGCAGATGATGTGGTTGACTACTCCCACGGAAAGCAGCTTTACGAACTGTGCCGAGAAAAATACGAACCCTTGTGGATCAAGGGTGGTAACCACTGTGACCTGGAGCTGTATCCTGAGTACATCAAACACCTCAAAAAGTTTGTCCACACAGTCGAAAAACCTCCGTCTCAACGACACGTGTCAAGAAGAAGCATCGACCGTCCTGAACGTTCCAGAAGGAGCACCGACTGTATTGAAGCACCGAGAAAGAGCACCGACAGGAGAGAAAAGCCAAGACGGAGCACGGACAGGCCTGAAAGGCTGAGAACCTTCGAGTACAAGTTCCACAGCAACAATAATGAGGACAAGCTGTCCAAGTTAAAAGTATCGTTTGAGCAAATGGAAAGATCTAGAAGAAGTGTGGAGTACCACGAGAAGTCCCGGATGAGTATTGATATTCAGATGGAGAAGGCCCGGAAGAGTGTCGACTGGCTGGATAGGATACGAGCCACATGAATCGTACAACGAGAGTTACTGTATATTTGTGCTGGATGTCTATTGTTGAAAGCAAATAGGCAAAAGGGAAGGTTGGTTTTTAAGTTATGGTAATGGATGTGTGTGTGTGTGTGTGTAAGTTGCTCATTAAAATTTGGTTTGAGGTACTTTTTCCACTTGTTCATGTTGTGAGAGAAAAATGAAAGTGTTGGGGGGTATAGTTTCAATATAATTCATTGGTGTTTGGGAAATTGTTTCTCGCTTATCTGCGCCTGTCAGCTGTTTATTAAAGATTGTCTTTAAACAGGGGATTTTCTATTTTACCCAGCAGCATTTTATGATAAAAAGTCACTGTAAGGTTGTGTGCCACCATTGATACATTTATTCTTCCCAACTTACCTGAAACTGTGTCTTTCGAGTGAAGGTTTTACATTTTTAAACTCGAGTCCCATTCCTTATTACCAGGAGAAGTGAGAATCATCAACAGTACATAATAGAAGTGAAACCAAACAAAATCAACAAATCTAACTCTTTCCACCACCAATTTTGAGAGCTCCATTTCAGTGGCAAAGATATTTTCCTCCCGGATATACGCAAGTAATATTTACAATCCCCCAACACTTGTAAAAATCGATCAACGTATGTACCATACAGTAAAGTCCTAAATATCAAAAAATCACAACCATATCATCTCCACAGAAGCGAACTTCCCTCCAACTCCACAGAAGCTAATTTCCCTCTTAACTCCCAATAAAACAGCAGGTTCACCACAGTTTGAACATGAGTAGTGACTTTTGATGGTCGTCAATTGGTCATTATGCATGTCCAACTCCTTCACACAAATCAGCAAATAAAAAAATAAAAAAATATACAAATATGAATTGTGATACATTCATCAAGACCAAACACAAATGTTGCCATTTTTATCCGAAGTAGCCAATGGCTTCCCTAAATGACTCCAAGAACAACACAACACGGGCGATGAATGCTCCTTTAGAGTGCTCACCAGTTTTGCACTAGCCACCGACCAAATATGCACCGACCCATCTACCATCCCAGCCGCTACATAACTGTCATCCGGGCTCAAACACGACCTGCTCCAATTAGACGCCACCCTACTACTCCCATTCCCTCTCAAAGTCGCGCAAACCTCGAGCGTACGAATGTCGAACAAATTATGCAGATTGTCTCTCCCACTGGACAGTATCACATTCCCACTTCTCGATAAAGACATAGACGTGACAGCAAAAGAATGGGCCGCGATCTCACTCAAAAGTTTTCCACTCCGAATGTCCCATAACCGCAGGTTCCCATCCACATGCCCTGAACAAATCGTCTGCCCATCCGTGCTAAAACAGAGGGCATTACAATTACTGTGGAATATAAGCGTGTTAACACAATAACCCTTCTGAAGGTCCCACACTTTTATCGTACGGTCGTAAGCAGCGCTAACGACATTGCGGCTTGACACCCTGGATACGTCTACGGCACAGACCTTGTCCATGTGGCCCGTGAGGGTGTGGCGAACCCGGCCCAAGCCCACATCCCATACGTAGAGATTATTGGTGCTGCTGGCCGCTATAATGAATTTGTTTTCGTGAGTAATGCAGATATCGAGGATGGAGCCAAGGGCACCATTAAGAGCCCGACTTTGTGAGCCGGTGTTTGTGTCCCAAGTCCTCACGGCTTTGTCCTGTCCTCCGCTGACCAATTTGGTGGAATTGTGCTCAAATAGGATAGATGCACAGCCACCTTCATGGGCTGGGATCCTCAGCTTGCACGTGGCAGGTATTGTTGACTCCACATAGAATTCAGCGCCTTCTTCACTCTGGCGGACAATGCCATCCACTTGTTGATGGGCGAGAAGTTGTATGCTGCTTCCTTTGAGGCGATCCAGCATATCCTCATAGATGGCATTAGCCTAATGAAGAACCATTTAGTTACCAAGAATGACAGTAGAAGGGCACTCCATAAGAGATTTAATTAGAGCGACCCAAACAAGGTTTATGTATGAATAGCAATTACAATGTCAGATTAGATGATTAATTAAACAAAGGTTCATACTTAGTAGCTAGTAAAGTTTTTGATAGATGATCGATCTGGATCAGGAGGTGGAGGGTATACCTTCAAATCTCTTTAATAATGAAAACTTCTATGCATGATCATGCATGCTTTCATATATAAATCAAGGTAGATTAAACAGATCATTTTAACTTAGGACTGTAGATAGGATCGGTGCTGTTGTTGTAACTTTTCTACATCATGCGGAATTTCACAAGCAGATGTCTCAACTTCTTTATGATGCAGATAAAAAAATAAAAATGGAGATGATATTATACAGCAGGAACCATCATGTAAAGATACCTCATTCAGGCGTTCGGCGTCTTTCATCTTTTCCAACATCCAACGATCAATTAGCATTTTGTTTTCTGCTTCTGCGTTTTCAGCTCTGAGAGTGGTTGCCTCTAGTTGTGCTTTAAGTTCTTGGTGTTCACTTATCAACAGCTCTAGTGCCTTAGTCTTTTCTTCCAAAAGCTCATTTAGGCGCAAGCATTCATTCCTGCAAATGATTGCAATAGTTTACACAGCCTGATGTGGCACAACGTCATAATTGAATCCCTCACAACTTATATCTACAAAAATGAAAGGAGACATAATCTTAAGACTGAAAACCTTTCTTGACTAAGATCATTCTGCAACTCAGCTATCATGGATTCTTTTTCATGTGCTAAAGCTTTGGAAGCTCTGGATTCAGCCACTTCCACCACAAGTTGTTCTGATAAACGAGATTGAGCTTTGTAACATTGCTGGAGCTCCACTTCAAGATTTTCAGCTTTTTCTTTCCATTCTGAGCCCTTCAACACATACCATTACTATAGTTATATCAACTATGCAAACACATTCTTTCCAATGAGGACCCTTAAGGCATAAACCAGCAAACTCAATCCACTTGTCCTATTAAATGTCTCCTAACACCTCTAACTCAGCATGCACTGAGCCCGAGCACCGACGGTAATTCAAGTACCAAATACATGGACACTACTTAGTTTCATACAGTTGTGATAATGAACCAAGTCTTTTGAGTTCTAATACGTCAAGGCACAAGCTATGTTGCCAGTGTAGCACCAGCTGCAAAGAAATCTTGACTCTATTATTAACCTTATTTTCAGAATAACCATGACAACCATTGACTACAATTTGCCTCCAAATTTTGATCTTTTGTTCTTCTGCTTATTATAGACGGACTAAAACATTATATAACGGAACCAAATAACTGAAACAACAAGAAAAACCGACTTCCATTTACCTGCGACACAATCGGGCGAGATAGAGCGATCAAGGCAGGTGAATGGGCGCCTTCTTCCAGTAAATGCCGCTTTTTAAGCGCTTTCAAAGCGTCTCTTATTGCTTTATCGTCTTGCGACCTTCACATAAAAATCAAAAAGGAATGAAGTCATAAATCAACTAAAAATCCAAAAAAAA